AAAAAAAAAAAAAATAAATAAAGCCTAGTGACAAAAAGAGAACTTCAAATGAAGTATGTTTTATAAGATTAGACTTAGACTTATGTAAAGTTTATCTTTAAAAATAAAAAAATAGATGTAATTTTTGTAGCTCATTCCAGTAAGAAACATTGTAGTTAATAATAATCTATTTCCCTTAAAATTGAATTTTGAAAGGTAAAGCCAATGTAATATAAAACAGCCAAAAAGACAAAGGAGAGCAAAAATTTATAATGAGCTTTGCATAACATCCTATAAAATAAAATTAATATAATAAAGGTTTACATTGAATAGGTAATATATTTCTGGTACTGAAGTAATTTACACGTATTTACCCAATATTACCCCAGACTTTATGAGGAAACTATTACCTAATCATATTTCTATTTTTCAGGTAAGGAAATTGAAACACACAGAGGTTAAATAGATTCCTTGAGGTCATATGATAGGAAATATTAGAGTTGGGACTTCAACTTAAGCCGTCTTTCCCCTCCCAGGAAATCTGAATGCCTGAAACACTCAGCCAACACACAGGAGTTTTCACAGCAGTCAACATCATTCTTTTATACTAGCTCTTACTAACTACAAATGCATAGTGTCGGAGTCCAGCTCTGACTTGTCCGAGGGTTCTTGGGGGATGTGAGAGGAATGAGGAAGTATTAAATATGTAGCCCTAAGTTTCTTCAGGCCTATCTGGCTTTGCAGTCCTGCAGGCACTTATAAAATAATCACTCAGAGGCTTTAATATTACTTGCAAATTATATGGCCTGTGGCTTAGGCTTCTCACTAGCTAGCTCTTATAACTTAACCCACTACAAACTATTAATCTATGTATCACATGTCCCGAGACTTTACCTGTGTCCCATTACATGTTGTCCTTGGACGCGCTTTGGTGTCCCTTGCTCTCCTTTCTCCTCTCATTATGTCTCTTGGAATCCTGCCTGGCTCCATCCTGCCCTGCCATAGGCCAATGCAGCTTTATTTATTAACCAATCGGAGTAACACATATTCATAGTGTACAGAACGACATCCCACAGCATAGATAGAAAGGCAGAAGGAGAAGATAAGAAAGACAGAGACACAGGAAAGCCTCGGAAGGGCCCTGGGTCAATACCCACTCGCCTCGTCCTTTATTTTAATGGGCTATTTATATATCCTACCAAGGGTAGAGGCAGAAGACCCCCCTCCTGTCAAGATCAAAGGACACTGTACAGCCAAGTGTAGACCCTTCAAAACACCTGGTAACCACACCCATGGCCAAATCATCCCATTATGCTACCCTGCTGGGTAAAGCAAGCTGTTTTTGAGTAAGGTCTTACTAGTGAGCCTCTGTGGGCCCCCACAGTGTAGTATTCTTTTAATTTAAATAACCACTAGAATGCACCAGTGACCATCACACTTAATCAGTGTAGGTTAGAAACACCCTATCTATTGTCTGTCATTGCTTGGGAAGTACTCAACACTGTAATAAGTCAAGGGAGGATGACTCACACTATGAAAGAACAAGTAAACAGTTGTTACCAGAAAGTAAGCAGAATGTTAGAGAAATGAGAAAACTTTTCTCTTACACTTCCGCAATTAATGTTGCAGAATGAAGTATGGACAAACAGAAAAACCTCCATTTACAATAGAAGAACTGTAAAGTTTTTAGAACCCCCTGACTTAAGTTAGGAAAACTGCTAATTGACATAAAAGAATACTTCTATTCTCTAGTTAGAACAGCATAAAATATCAATGGACTGAAAGAGTATTTGATTTGATTCTTAATATGACTTAAAAAATCTAGTATTTCCAATCAGTCTCCCAAATATGTTTTTAAAATTTTTGACAGACTTTTTAAAAAAGTCTGAATGGATTAAAGTAATCAGGAAGGAGTTGAACAACAAAAAAAAAGGAATGAGAAAAACCTGCCTTCTTGTATATCAAAATATACTATGTAACTTCATTTAAAATGATGTAGTAGTTTGGTAGGAAGATGAAAAATAGTTGTATGGGACAGTTTGCAGTTCAAAAATAGGTTCATGTATGTGAGTAATAACTGGAAAAACTTCAGGATTCAACAAATTATGTAATTGTTTATCGGTTTAGTGTCCAGTCAGAAATAGTCTTGATTCTTTATATCAACCCTCATAAAGGTCATATCATACAGTGTGTAGAAAGATACTACACATAGAGTTTCAGTAGAAAGTATAATAACCAGTTAATTCCTAGAAGTTTTTTAAAACGATTTTTATGTGAAAAGCCCAGTTTTCCAATTGGAAAAAGCAAATCATAGAGGAGAAAGTGTTCACATTTAACACATTTAAATATGTAAATTTAAAATTTATATGTACTAAAATAAAATTGGAAAGTGAAGGGGTTTTTGTTTTTTTAAAGAACATATGTATAACATGGACAACACAGATATTGCCAGTGGGTAGTAAAGAACAAATGAGAAACTAGGAAACCCAGCCAAGGAAAACCAAATGTCTCATAAGGAACTCTGCTTTTGAGCTAAGAAGTAGAACACTTACTGAGCCTTTGTAAAGATGCACTTCCAACCCCATCACCAACACAGTTTTGCTTTAACAGCTTTTCTTACTCGTGACATATGTGTAAGAATTGTTTGAAGTGGTCCCCCCTCCCCCCAGGTAGGGTTTCTCTGTGTAGCCATGGCTGTCATGGAGCTTGCTTTGTAGACTAGGCTGGTCTCGAACTCAGAGACCCACTTGTCTCTGCCTCCTGAGTCCTGGGATTAAAGGTGTGCATCACCACCTCTGATTCTTGAAATACTTAAAAATATAAAACAAAGAAACATTTCACTTCCTGAGTTCCTGGAAATGTGCTCAATAAAGATTCTCTAGTGATGGTGAATTCTCAGAAGCATGCTTAAAGTATGAAAATCAAATCAGTAGACTTCTGATTACCTGTCTCCATCTTAAGCAGTGTGTGCTCCAATGCCTGGCGCATAGTTGCTAACAAATATATATTTAATGAATAAGTAATGGAAATATATTATTAAACTGTATTAAATTCTAGATTTTTTCTCAAACAAAACGTCACACTTATAAAAATAGGTAACATGTGGGTGATAAGGAAATGTTATTTGTTGTATGTACTTGTAACAGTACCTCAATAATGTACCACCCACAACACTCTAGAATGGCTATTAAAAATAGTTTCAGTTTTTTCATTTAGGTCTATAATCCAATTAGAGTAAATTTTTCCCTAGACATTTCTTTTTCTTCTTTGGAGAACTCTGTTCAGGTCCCAGGCCAATTTATTGAATGGGTCGCTTGTTTGTTTTTGACTCTTTCATTTTTGAGCTCTTGATGTGAGAAGTACAGCTGGCAAAGATTTTTCTCTCATTCTGTGGGCTTTCTCTTTACCCAGCTGATTGTTTCTTTAGCTATGCAGAAGCTTTTTAATTTTGTGTGCCTGGCAGTGGTGGCGCACGCCTTTAATACCAGCACTCGGGAGGCAGGCAGAGGCAGGCGAATCTCTGTGAGTTCGAGGCCAGCCTGGGCTACAGAGTGAGGTGCAAAGCTACGCAGAGAAACTCTGTCTCAGAAAAACAAAACAAAACAAAAAAAGAAAAGAAGCTTTTTAATTTTGTGATGTCCCACTTGTCAAGTTGTTGGCCTTAATTCTTGGGCAAATAGAGTCCTATTCAGAAAGTCCTTTCCTACACCGATTATGTGGGGCTCTGCCTATGTTTTCTTATGGCAGCTTTAGTGTTTCAGGTTTCAGTTTTTGGTCATTGATCCATTTAGAGTCAATTTTAGTGCAAGGTGACAGTTATTGTCTAATTTCATTCTTTTGCATGTGAGCATCCAGTTTTCCCCACACCGTTTGTTGAAGATGCTCTCCTTTCTCCAGCTTATATTTTTGGTAGCCTTGTTACATGTACATGTTTGCATCTTGGATTTTGTTCTGTTGGTCCATGTGTCTGCTTTTGTGCCAATATCATGTTTTTATTACCATGGCTCTGTATACTGTATCTTAAGATCTGGAATGAGAATCCATCCAGCATTGTGCTTTTTTTTGCTCAGGATTGTTTTTCATTGTCTAGGATCTTTTGTAGTTCTATATGAATCTTAGGTTAGCTTTTTTCTATACCTGTGAAGAATAACTTTTTTTTTTTTTTTTTGGTTTTTCGAGACAGGGTTTCTCTGTGTAGCTTTGCACCTTTCCTGGGACTCACTTGGTAGCCCAGGCTGGCCTCAAACTCACAGAGATCCACCTGCCTCTGCCTCCCAACTGCTGGGATTAAAGGCATGGACAGGGCTGGACAGACTATGCCTGGACACTGAATGTGGGTCCTGGGCTAATCCTAGCAAGTTGTCAAGTATGTGGTGGTGGTGGTGGTGGTGGTGGTGGGGAGGGGTGTTAACATACAGACTAACCAGGCTAGAGCCTGGAAAAGGATGTGAGGGATCTGGCAGGGTGGAGAGGTAGAATGAGGGTTCATAGCAGGTCCCTGGGGGGATGGTCTTGTTGGAAATCTAGAGGTGGGTTCAGGGGCAATGAGGTGTTCGAACTAGGGCACCGGATGTGGGACCTTGTCTTGATCTGGCTCTTGGGGAAGTGTGTGTGTCAATGTTTATGGATGGGAGATTCACCAGTTGGACCCTAGAGAAGGATGGGTGCTACTGTTTGTTTTGTTAATCCAAGTTTAGTAATACGTTTGTGGGGTTTTTAACCTTTGTTTGTTTGTTTATTTAAACAGGATCTTTACATAGCCCCAGCTGTCCTGGAACTCATTATGTAGACTAGGCTAGCCTCAAACTCACAGAGATCTGTCTGTCTGTCTGCCTTTGTCTCCCGATTGCTGAGATTAAAGGCATGTGCCACCACCCCTAAGAATTTTTAATATATATATATATATATGGGTGTTTTGCCTTCTTAAATGTCTGTGAGCCATGAGCATGCAGTGCCAGAAGAGGCTGGAAGGAGGTCAGATCCTTTGAAACTGGAGTTAATCGTTGTTAGCCACATTGTGGGTGCTGAGACTCACTCAGGTCTTTTAAAAGGATAGCAAATGCTCTTAACCACTGAGACATCTTTTTAATCCTCAAATAATAAGTTTTTAAATCAGTAAATATGAATGCTTCAACATCATTCCTTTTCAAGATCTCTTGGCTATTCAGAGTCTAGTGAGATGTTGTGTGAATCTTAGGATACTTTTTCTAATGAAAGGCTCTTGAAATTTATGAAACTGCATTGGTTGTGTAGATCTTTGGTTAGCACTGTCATCATAACAGTATTAAATCTTGTAAGCTGTGACCACTTACTTATCCTCAGGGTTTTGTGTGTGTGTGTGTGTGTGTGTGTGTGTGTGTGTGCGCGCGCGCGCGCGCGCGCACATTGTCTGCTTCTATAGTTACAGTCACTCCCTTCCCCTCTGTCACATCTGGTTCTTTAGAAATGAGTTACTGTCTAGCCCGTGTACTCACTAGGATAGACAAGAACAGGAATACAAGGAAATGGAATCATTGGGTGATCTGAGTAGGTATTCTCACAATGATTTAATTCCAAATTATCCAGGATAGAATAATGGTTTATCAGTTTCTCGTTTAATAGCTTATAGCTCATGATTTGGTTTCTTTTGTGTTTAGTATCTATACTTGCTAATTTTATGTCAACTTGACACAAGCTATATTATATTTATCAGAGAGGAGAGATCCCCTATTGAGAAAATGCATCTGTAAGATTGGGCTGTACTCAAACCTTCAGTACATTTTCTTAATTACTGATTGATGGGAGAGGGCCCCACCCATTGTGGGTGCTGGCTCTAATGGGCTGGTGGTCCTGGGTGCCATGAGAAAGCAGGCTGAGCAAACCATGAGAGCAAGCCAGTAAGCAGCATCCTTCCATGGCCTCCGCATCAGCTCCTGCCTCAAGGTTCCTGCCCTGCTTGAGTTCCTGTCCTGACTTTTTTCCAATGATGAATAGTGATGTAGAAGTATAAGCCAAATAAACATTTTCTTCTCAAATTTTTTTCTTTTTTTTTTGTCTTGGTGTTCCATAACAGCAGTAGAAACCCTAACTAAGGCAGTAGCCATCCAAATTTCCAATGTGAATATTGCTTTCTATATCTCTGCCTCATTTTCCTTCTCCATAGTTTATCTGAGAATTAGAGACTAATGCAGTGCTTGATTTTTTTGTTTGTTTGTTCACAGAGTTGTAGTGCAAGTGCCCTACAGGCAAGATTGAAAGTAGCTGCACATGAAGCTGAGGAAGAGTCTGATAATATTGCTGAAGATTTCTTGGAGGGAAAAACTGAAATAGATGATTTTCTCAGTAGCTTCAAGGAAAAGAGAACAGTATGTAATACTCTTCAGTTGAGGATGAGTGACAACATAATATCAAATTTTTTAAGTATGTTCATGGGTAAAATAGCACATAACCAAGCTGGAATGCTGAGTATTGAGCGGACTCTGAAAAGCTTCTTTTCTTTAGGGAAGGATAGTAGTCTGCTACTGTTGCTTTAAACCTGTTAGTTAGGAGTACACGACCAAGGAATTTAATGATAGTGTCTGTATCATTGTGTAGGAGCTGGTAAACCAGCTTAGTTTGATCAGCTTAACAGCTTTAATAGTCTCCTGAAAAACAACCTGTTTTATAAGTTGCTTAAATACAGAATAACCTATAGAGATAAAAAAAAAATAAATAATAAAAATAGAACAGCTTCTATTCTGGTGTTTCCATTATATTCAAGGGAAAAAAATCTGCTTAATAATTTCATACTAGTTCATGTAGTCCTAAATATTTACCCACTATCTTTGAAACAATCATATTTGTTTGTTATTTATTAAGTTTTATGAAATGTTTGCACATGGGGGGTGTTTTTGTGAGTGTATACTTGTGTGTGTGTGTGCCCTGTTAAAGCAGACAGGGCAAATTTTATTCAATTACCTTTATTTTTCATGAGAGACAGTTGAAATTCAGAGATGGTTAGTAACTTGCCTGTGTTTACAATTTTAGTAAGAATTTGGTTTCTGACCCATTCTATTCTGTATAGCTACATTGAAGTTTTTGTTTGTTAATCTCCCAGATTAACAAGAGCAGGGTTTAGTTCTGTGCTTTTAAAGCACAGGCATTTGAAATTAACATTAGGGAAGTTTGTGGTCAAAGATTGTTTTCAAACAAAGCTCAATGTTTTTCTGGATTCCTAAGTTCTGAGGAATTATTAGCTACTTTAAATGTTAAAAACTTAAAGGAATGGTAACAAATTAAAATATTCTTATGTGGAAGTCTGTCATAATGTAGGAAGTAGTTGGAAAAGTGATTGGTATTTTAAATGATTTGTCTTCTAGATTTGCCACTGTAGAAGAGCTAAAGAAGAGAAGCTTCACCAGGTGATTGCAATGCACAGCCAATTTCATGCTCCTCTATAGGTAAATGGCATTCCAGCTAGTGTAGTTCTTTACAGTGCCTGTTCACACTGTCATTACAGTTGTCGTATGGTACAAAGTGCTGATATTAAACACACCGCTGTGTAAGGGAGCCTACAGCCAGTAGAAACCTTTCAGTAGTTTCTCAGTGTGGCCGAGTCCTAAGGAAAGTTTGCACTTCCCCCTAAGGTTAGCTTACCTGTCATGTTCCTCTTTCTGCCACCATCTTCTCATCCATACTCTTGGAGTCCTCCAGCTCTTTTCTTTCTCCTGTTTGTTATAGGAATGTTTTGTTTACAAGAGAAAATCCTGCCCTGTATTAGTTCTATTGGTGTGATAAAATACCATGGCCAAGACAAGTTTTAGAGGGAAAGAGTTTATTTGTGTTTATGGTTCCTAAGGGAGAAGCCATAATGATGGGGGAGGCATAGCATTAGACAAGCTGGAGCAGGGAGCTGAGAGTTCACATCTTCAACCACAACACGAAGCAGCTAATTTTTAGTACAGGGAAACTACCAACTCTCAAAGCCCACCCATAGTGATATATTAGCAAGGCTGCACCAACGCCTGAAACAGCTCCAAGTGTTCAGATACCCAAGCCTATGGAGGACATTTCTCATTCAAACCACTACATATCCCAGCAACCTTAAATACAAGGTTGTTGTTGAAGGAAAATACCAAGATACTTTACAGAGCCCAAAGGAAGAAGGTACAGCCCAGTTACTGAGAGGGGAAACACGGGAAGCCACTCAGGCACAAAAGACAGCTCTTCTCAGGCTGGCCGTTCCCACTGCTGAGTCTGACTGATGTGTTTGGATTGCTGGGATCAGACCTGCGGCTTTCCATGTGCTTAGCAAGCACTTGAGAACTGACCTACATCACCAGCACTTCTTTCTTAGTAACCCATCAACCATTACTGCTCACAGCAGCTGGTGCAGAGTTCTTAGAGTCTCGAGTTATGTACAAATCTCTAGCAGAGATGGGTGAATTACCTTACCCTAGCCTAATCAGCATGGCTAGAGATTAGGACCATGTGGTCTTGAACCCAGCCGTCTGGGCTGAAGGAATAGACGTTAAGAAGGCATATGGGAGATTCTTTGAAAAAGTGATAGGCATTTGTCATCTTTAGTTTAAATTGCATTACTGCCAATTCTGAATTACTTTGGATCTTACTTTCTAAATTGAGCTCATTTTTATACTTTTTGTGTTCACCCCCATCTCAAGAAATAGAAATAAATTATTATATAGGAACATACTGAAATATTTTCCTTACCCAATTCCCTCCCAGGCGAGTTACAGTAAATATAAATAAGAAAACAGTATAAAGGAATGAGAGTTTATCATCTTAAATCTTAAGTTGAAATTTTTTTTTCATTTCAGATTTTCCTGAAAACATGAATCAAGAAAGAAATGGGACACAAAACTAAGCACATTGTTTTATATTTGTGACTTATGAATTGGCATTTCATGACC